AGTTTGGTATCGGAGCGGACCTCTCATTCAGAGGACCCGCTCAATCAAGTAGCCAGCTTGCGATCTAGTGATCACTCATTAGTAACGCAAGTAGGACTTAGTCAAATCTCTGGAAAAAAAAAATTCTCGCAACAACTATCTGAAATTTCTGATATTCGCATTTCGTTTTACCTTAAAATTTTTGATATTAGTAGTTCGTTTTACGTAACAAATATCTGAAAATCTCTAATAAATCGCATTTCGTTTTGTCTGAAAATTCCCGATAGTAGATTTTCGTTTCTCTGATATTTCGCATACATAGCTGAAATTTCTGAAGTTAGTATTTCGTTCTCTAGGCATATTGGGATAACGATAGAAGTGGTCATATTCTCGAAAACTGGAATTATTCTTTTCTGAAAATCACATTTCCATTCTATCTCGCAAACTTTTTTTTGAAAACCGAATCTTGCGAAGCATACCAATATTGTGTTAGGCATATTCGGAGGTTGCTATATTCTCAGAAACTGGAGTTCGTTCTTTTCTGAAAATCGCATCTTTACTCCATTTCGCAAATTTTTTTTTCAAGATCGCAGTTTGTAAAAGTCGAAACTTTGCGGAACCTAGCCTAGATCTCGTTCATAATACTCTTCTGACATGTCCTACTCATAATAGATCGATAGATATACGAAAAAAAAAAAGAAAAAAAAAAAGGAAGTACTCCTCTTTTATTTATTTTATTTTATTTTATCTGTTGATTAGGGCCGGAGGAAAGTATTGTTGGGTTGTTTGCCTACCTACGTTTTCCCTCCCACCCACCCCTTTGCATGCATTTCCGGGTCAGCTACAGTGACACGTCAGCAGTGCCACGTCAGACACAGTGCCATGTAAGCAGTGCCACGTCAGCAGTGCCACGTCAGACACAGTGCCAAGTAAGCAGTGCCACGTCAGCAGTGCCACGTCAGACACAGTGCCACGTAAGCAGTGCCACGTCAGACACAGTGCCACGTAAGCAGTGCCACGTCAGACACAATGCCACGTAAGCAATGCCTCGTCAGACACAGTGACACGTAAGGAGTGCCACGTCAGCAGTGCCACGTCAACAACATAACGGGCCTGCTGGGCCAACTGGCCAATGAGCCCATTGCCGACTACAAAAAGCACTGCCAGGCTCAGCTCGTTGCAGAGAAGCTCCGGCTACAAGCCGAAGCAGACGCAGAAGCCCAGGCTCGCCGCAAGGAAGCCTAGGATCTGCTGCAACGGCATGAAGCAGCCAGCGTTGACAGACTCAAATTCTGGCACTTTGAACCCAACGGCGACGACGCGACACCGGAAGAATAGCATAAGGAGTTTCTCTCCAAACTCGTGACACGGCTGTTGTACACTTGCAACTACCAACAGTCCGAGTTGGAGAAACAGCACCAGGACCTGACGCAACAGCATCAGGAGTTGGCGAAGCTCCGCCGCACAGTGCAGAGCCACGAGGATGCAACTCGKGCACTCAATGCCCGAATGTTGGACCTGGAACAGGCTGTACCAGGACCAGCTGCTGGGGCTTCYAGCAGTGCAACCTCTAGCCGCCAACTGGAGGAACRCGTTGACCACGTAATGGAAATGCCGGCGACATCAGCACCTTCGCTGCGCCGACCACCATCAGCAGTCAACTRCATACTTTGAAGACCGAGGTCCAGCAACTKCAGTCGACGAACGCGGATSACAATCCGAAGATGTACAAGATGCCAACTTTCCAACTGGACAAGTTCGACGACTACACGCAGCAGGATCCGGTCCTCTGGTGGGAAGCATTCACAACGCAACTNAAGATGTACAAGATGCCAACTTTCCAACTGGACAAGTTCGACGACTACACGCAGCAGGATCCGGTCCTCTGGTGGGAAGCATTCACAACGCAACTCAGGATTCTGCCCGTAGCCAAGCATGCGTACATCGGCGCCCTGTTCCTGAACTCAAAAGGCAGATGCCAGACATGGTTGAGCCACCTGGCAACCTCCCACGACGTTGACGTACCGGACTTGAAGGACAACATCACATGGGAGGAACTGACACGGCTGTGGAAGAAGCGGTTCATCGTCGACGATGCGCCGACACTCGCCATCAACCGTCTGTTCACCATGTCACAGGGCAACACTGCAACACGGGACTGGCTCACGGAGTGGCAGAAGATTGCGGCAGTGCCCAATCTAGACTTGCCATTCGTACATCTCAGACGTGAGTTCTACAACAGATCTCTTGGTGATCGCGAGCAGTATTCAACCTTCGCTGAGATCATTGACAAGGCGAGGGAAATCATCAAGACGAACATGTCAGCTGCACACGAGAAATCAACATGGCAGCCGACCTATGTGGAGAAGGTACGAACAAGTCCGCGACAGCAGCACTTCGCTGCAGTCCAGTCGGACAGTGGAGATAACCCAGCAACCACTCAAGCATCAAGTGACGGAGATCAGGTGGTTGCTGTCCAGCCGCGAAGCAACAACAAGTCCCGCAACATTGGGAAGGCGAAATCTGCATCGCAAGCCGGAAATGGACAGCCAGTACAAGTTCCATGGGTCAAGTTTGGCTTGACCGAGGCGGAGTACAAGGTCCGCGGCCACTACGGCAGCTGCTATTGGTGCAACAACACCAAGCACAAGACCTCCCTGTACGGATTAGGGCAAGGACGATGTGCGACCCCGCCTCAGCTCGGGAAACTAAGCTCCGCGGAAGGTGAGGCGACCCCACCTTCTACTCCGCCAGATTCGCCCGCCTTGCTAGCGGCCTCCTGCACTTCTAGGGAGAACGCGAATGTCGCAGGTTCTCGTTACACTTACGAGGACTATGTTGTCCACTTGGTTCCACCGCTGGACCAACCGCTCCACGTGCAAGAATCTACCGCATGCACGGTTTCATCACCATCGGCAACCGATTTGGCAGCTTCGCCGCCATCTATCGCCGGGGATTCATCGTCGTGGTCAAGACTTGAGGTGCTCGACCCACTGACGTTCACGGACTTCCAGTGGATGCCCGTTCCCCCGACCGGACGATTGTCGGAACCGCATTGCAACGTTGTCGGGACTGGTGGGTCCCGAATAACTTCCCATCACTCGAGAGATTGAATACGGACAATTTGTGCACAACAAAAAAATCTGGAGTGAGGAAGCAGGAGAGAGAAAAGACAAAGGATTAGGCCGCAGAAGGGAGTGATGCCCTGAGGAGAGAACCATAGGAGGAAAGAACTAGCGGCGGCAAGCAAGCGAGCGCAAGAACAGGGGCACATAGAACATAGCTGGAGGTCGGGAGGGCCATCGAAATGCAATAAGACTAAGGTCGAAGGGCCCTTTGAACTAGCAATGGCAGCGCGACAGCAATAAGGGAATAAGGAAGTCGAGGAATGGGCGGCCAGAAGCCGCGGGAAGCCAGGAAATGAGGGTCCAACGTGGGGGCCACCTATGGGAGCCTCGGAGCGGAGGCCCGCGACCAAAGAGATCGGCACGCATAAGGCGCGAGGAAAGACTAAGGAGAGGGGTCGCTATGGGGCGACAAGACGCCCAAGGGGCATGGGACACCTCGGGGAAAGGCACCCGGGGCCACGTGGGACTAAGTAAAAATAATGGCGTCCTGGGCGAAATGTGTCGGGAACCGCCGATGGGACTAAGTGTCGAGGACCGCCGACGGGACTAAGTGTCGGGGACCGCCGACGGGACTAAGTGTCGGGGACCACCGACGGGACTAAAGTGTCGGGGACCACCAACGGGACAAGTAGCGGGGACATGTGAAAGTCCCAAGAAGAAGCGGCGGCACCGCATGAGGGGAAAATAATAAATGCAAGGTGCACCGTCAAGATCGACATTTTGACGGCCAAGAATATTAGCACCACTAGTGCAAGTACTAGTGGTGATATACGGGGAGGCCAAAAAAAAAAGGAAAAGCAAACAAAACTGAAGTGGGAGGCATGAGAGCAATTCGAAAAATCTCGGATCAGCCTCCCTCAAGAAAATAGAGTCAAATGGGACCCCATGTGAAAAATAGCCCTCCGGGAGAAAATCGGAGTAGGAGGGACCACTGTGGGAGAAATGTAGGAGTAAAAGGAGGCTCCCATGGGCATGGGAAGGCCATTATTGCAGTCCGAGAAATAATGGACTGCACCTTGGGCATAGGGAGGGCCAAAACTAAGAGGAAGAGGCTAGAAAAGGGCCTTAACGGCCACTTGACACTTGGCATGCTAGAAAAAGGAGAGAAAAGAAAAGAAAATGTGGGAGAACAAGACAAAAAGAGTGAGAGGGAGTGAGTGAGTTGGCCGTCAGTAGGGACTGCCATAGGTAGGGACTGGCAGGTCCCTGGGCATGCTTGGCGCCCGCCACCTAGAGATAGACCACTGGATCCCACGATTGGCATTTAGCAGAGTCTGCTGATGTTCATAGGGGAGGGGACCTGAGGGGAAGCACAAGGATTGGTCCTGTTGGCATGGTCCCTGATGCTACCCGTTGTCCCCTAGCCGGTATCGCCCACCTGCAGGTCGGGAGCAGCCCCCGCATGTTCTCTCGTGAACATGGTTCTGGCTGCTACGGGGTTCCCCGTATGCCTACAATTAGTAGTGGTAGGTAGGTAGTGTGAGGTGAAATTGAGAATATATAGCTTTCAAAAAAAAAAGAAAAAAAACACGGTCACTTGGGGAGATTCGTCCGTGACCAGATTCATTATGGAATATGGCGGTTACAAAGGACTTCGATTTTCTTTGATTTTTGCAGAGAAAATCAAAGAAAATCAAGGCCTCTTGCAACCGGAATAAAACGGAATACATGCATCCGGAGCCGAAATCAAAGCCGGATGCACTTGGGAGTTGGCCGTTTCTTTTTCTTTTGAGTAAGGGCTAGTTGTGGGGCATTGGGGCTAAGGAATTGACCCCCATTGCAGTCTGAGTTGCAACGGACTGCATGGGAGAGAGAAAACACATGTTCTAGGTGCATCCGGAGCCAATATTGAGCCCGAATGCACTAGAAAATTTAACGCTTCATTTTCTTTCAACATGGGACAAGTTGTGGGGCTGTGGGTGTGGAAAACAGCCATGACTGCAGTCCGAGAAATTACGGACTGCATGAGGATGCAAAGGCCAAAGGGAAATGGGCTACGGCAAGTCCGAAAAAAGGCAAAAAATGAGCAATTTCGGTAAGAGGCAAGTAAAGACGGTAAACGGCAACCGTGAGATGAGATCTCACGGTCTAGAAAAATTGGCATACATATAGAAATGATGGGACCACCAAGGGCAATGGGCTCCAAAGAAATAAAAACGAAACGTCGTCCGGGATGTTGCCGGGGACCAAATGGGTCCAAATAATAAAAAGCGAAAAAACGGGACACGAGTCGGCGGGACCGCCGGCGGGACAAAGAAATGCAGCTAGTGTGTAGGAAAGTGGCGGGG